ATATTGTCTGAATAAAGAGTGACTGTAAAACAACCATTGCAACATTCCCTGCTTTGGTTATAAGAGATTCATGGGACAAGATGCGTGGAAATGGGAAAAGTCCACAGCGTGACAATAACTCTAGGGAGCATTCCTTTTCAAAACCAACTGTCCCTACCTTGTCAGTTCTCTGAATCACTAGAAGCAAGAAACCAAGCTCTGGAAGTCTCCTCAGATCTCTGTCCTAGATCTACCTCATTGTCTCCCTCTTTCTTTCCATTGGCAGAAAGAGCCCCTCATTCCTGGGGTGGCAAAATTGAAACCTATTTCTTTTAAATTTGTTTATTATTTAGTTCTCCTTTAGTTCTGTCAGCTAAGTCTGAAGGAAAAACAAACCAAGAACACCAGAAGTTGGTTCAGTTTTCCTAAAATAGCTCAGTRTAGAGAGAGGGAAAGCACAAGAGTGCAGCTGTGTGAAAGGGAGAAAGGAGGAACTGCAAGATGCTCCAGCTTAGCTTGGTGACTGTGACTGTCTTTTCTATGACTCTGAGAGCATATGAGTATCTGAAGGCAGCTCTGGTGYTTCTGAAGCAGAACAAAAGGATCCTTGTATTAATTAAAGCTTGAGATAGCTACTGGAGAGTTACCCAGAACCAGTGTTGTCTTGCTTGTTTGTSTTGTAAACTCTGACAAACTSCTCCACGTGATCTTATGTTCTATTGTAACATGAAAATGTGTCCTTAGCTGAGGAGGGTGTGTGCCCACCTCCTCCTCAGGTGCCTGGTGCTCAGCAGACAACAGCAGGGAGGAGCTACAGGAATGGCAGTAAAGCAGCTTTTTCATGTGCCAAGGGATTCCAGCTCRTCGGTACAAGYGAAATAACCTGCACAGAAGGGAAATGGCAATCACCACCTCACTGYGAGGGTCAGTACTGGCATATTTCTTTAMTATCTATTTCATTAGGAATGTCTGTGTTGYGCRYTTGCAGTCATCATGAGCAGGAGGYTGYTGTTATTYACCGAAGGTTATCATGAACAGGTAACTGCAGAGAAGCAGTAGAACATGAGTTACTAAAGAGAGCGCAGTCAAACAGCTGCAGTCTTTCCATTTACCCAGACTTATTTATCCAAGATGGCTTATACAAGTTTCAGGCAGTCCCWCAAGAGCTGTGTGCTTGTGTTTGTTTGTTTGCTATATTGTATAATGGAATCTCAGGTTTGACTGGGGGACTTAAATAATATCCTGTATTCAGTAAAATTATTGTCACTTAATTGCAGRTGCAATATTAATTGTCTTGCATTATTGTTAATCTGTGTTGTCTGTGTTTTTTAGAAAGACCATGTTTGCCACCACAATCTCTAGAATGTGCTGATGCTCCCAGGCTGGAAAATCCAAACTTGAAGATTGAAAGAGAAGGCAAAACAATGTATCTGGCTGGTGCTAGATTTCATTATGATTCTCAGTCTGGATACAAGTTAGGTGGACCAACAGAGATAAATTGTACTATGGGAAAATGGACTGCACCTCCTACATGCTTGGGTAATACCAAAAAATACTTTATTTAAAGTGTATTTAGCAATGAAATGAAAATAATTTTAAACTGGAGATTGATCAGTTAAAATCTACTTTTCCAGTCCATGTTTTGCTGTGGAATCTTATCTTCCATCATGGATGTCTTCAGAGCAATCGTGATTGGATGCAAAACTGACTTTCTGAGAGCAGCTTAGTTTTCAAATATTCCTTTGTASTCTTACAATCTTTGTCCAGTTCATGTCTCTGCCAGATGAGTCCCAGGCTCATCCTCATAATCCAAGGGTCTGCTTTCTACACAGTCCACTAGTGACTAAAAGCAGTGTAGTGCATCTGTGTTGCAAGGCACAAAAGCCTCTAGGAAAAAATTCTGGCATGTTTAGAAGCAGAACCTAAATATTTCTGTGACTGTATAAAGTATTCACATAAAGAAGTCTGTATAAATTTGGGGGAAATGCTTATTTAATCTTCTGTATTCTACCTTTTCTACAACATTAACTGATTATATAATCCTCTGTCAGCAGATGACTGTGCTGGTTTTAGAAATAGCCCTCTGAAGCACCTGTTTGATAGAAAAACCTGTTTGATGTGATACTCTCCAACGTGTATCACATTAACACAAGCATCAGATTTCTGTTATCTTTTCAGAAATGCCATGTGGAAGTGTTCCAGATGTTGCCAATGCTCAGATTGAAGGCAGAAACAAGACATTGTATGAGCCTGGTGAATCAATTCGCTACTATTGTAATTCAGGGTTCCCGATGATTGGCGACCCTGAAATCTTCTGCAGAAAAGGAAACTGGACAGCACCACCCTTCTGTGAAGGTAAAGGTTGTACCTCTAAGTAATCCATTATCCTTGTTAGCATTTCATGTTGTCAATTAAAATAATTTGAACTCGGGCATGCAGCTGAGTCTGGCCAACAGGTGACTGCTTTCAATGGGCTGCTAAAACACCTACTTTTCTGGCTTCTGGGAAACAACAAGCAGGGTAGATCAACAAAGCCATCATTTCCCTGT